TTTTCATTGCCTCTCTCTTTTCACTACCAGATGTTTTCCATGTAAACTACTGTCTGACCACAATAAATCCATCTTTGGTTCTCCGCTTTACAGGGGCAATTAGATTTTTAACATTTCCTTTCTCTTGAATGTACAGATACTAGCGTTATGGCGCTATTTTAAATTGAATGCCTGCGTCGTCATCGTGAGCCGTAAATTTTAGACTCTTATACTCCACATCCAAGAAAATACTTCACAGCTTCGAGCTGTACAATAAATTAAACAGTATGCCGGTTATCTTCTCAACCGCATTACATTTTATCATAATACAACATATCGGCAAAGTTTTGTTCTCACGCTTGTCATTTTGATCCTTAATCCATTAACAACGGAATAAAAATTTGGCTAGTGGTCAGTAACGCGGGGTTGTTGGCTCGCACCAGCAGTTTCCCCAGTTTGCGGACAACAGGTACCTAGCTTATATTTTTTATATCATTGAAAAAAATGTTTTGCTTCACTGCGGCGGGTTCTTCTAGTGCTCTGTCCTACGACAGGTCCTTTATGGCATCCATGTTCCCCATGACCCCCCTTTACACGAAGGCCATTTCCTTAAATACAAGGGAAAATCAGTCAGGTGGTTTCCCGTTGCCTTCCCTGGGAGTGTTTTCATTGAGACACTGTCTCTAGAAGGGTTGCTAGCCAATGCTAAAGAGTTCCCTCTACCCTTAATTTTATTTATCCTATAGGTGGGACCCTAACAGGTGTACTCTCTGGGACGAAGTAGACCTGGGAGCAATAGTGGCTAAAAGGTGGCTGCATGCTCCTCAGGACCAGAACCCCACTACAGGATGCATTTTATACTCATACCCAGGAGTATCACTGCAGGTGTCATTGCCTAAAAGTTTCATCCTACTAATGAAGCCGTTCTATCGGAGAAAAGCTCCGTCCGATGAGCCGGCGGCGCGGGAACTGTCGTGAGGCGGTGCCATCCGCGACGCAGTCACAACACCCAAGGCAAGAATGGATGCCAAATGAGGCCTTATGTACTATTCATCATTATTGATGGTGCTGTTGTGGTTATCAGTGACTGTTATATAAATGTGTGTGTGTGTACCTCTCTTCCACTCTCTCTCTCTCGAAGAAGAAGAAGAAGAGTCAGTAAGCTCTAATTGAAGGAAACGTTTGGCTACATCCATTTAGGTTAATTGTCTACATTTTTTCAATATTTCAGACCAACATGACAGTAATTCTAAAGGCGGGAAACATATCTGCAAGATCTTATACAACACACTTGGAAGGTAATCGAAACAAATGTGTTTACACAAAAAACAATTGTACGAATTATGTTGGCCGTTTACAAACCTTTTTGGTCGAGTTGGTATGAGGAGCAGTGTTGACAGCTCTCAGTTTGGTGACAAGGACTCGTACGATATTGACTAGGAAGAACAGATTAAGCAGCATGGACACCACCACAGGAACATTGAGGATATAGTTGTAATCGCTATCTTCCATCCAGCAGCTGTCAGCAAAGACAGTTCATTATGTAGCGCAACAGAGAAATAAAATATGATAGCATTCCACTAGTTCAGTTATGACATATTCGGAATCAGTGTGTATGTATATAAACACATTCAAACAGATAGAAAGATAGATGTTTGAAGACAAATTACATGTTATTTACAAGACATAAGTAACAACACGGCAACATAAACGAAAAGGAAATTCATATTCAATCTTACATTTATAGTCTACATAAAACGATAATACAACAAATGTTACTAATCACCAGTAAATCATGATAAAACTTATATGCAATATTACTAGGATAAAAACAATATAAAGTAAGAATCACCTCCTAAAAAGGGGGAGACGCCTTTAAATAAATTAAAAATAAATCACATTACACATTACACGGATATTATTCATGTCATCATATAAATGAAACCTTTCAAAAACAATGGGACTATCGTAACTATCTATCAACTGCTGCCAGCTGTTAAGCCTCTCTGTATTCGAATATGCTGAGAACTGGGACAGTCCTGTAGTACAGGTAATTCTCGTTGAATCGTCCCACGAAAGCACAGCTTCTTTGAGCGTGTGTGTGTGCGTGTGTGTGTGCGTGTGCATGTGTATGTGTGCGTGCGTGTGTATGTGTATGTGTTGTGTGTGTGTGTGTGTGTGTGTGTGTGTGTGTGTGTGTGTGTGTGTGTGTGTGTGTGTGTGTGTGTGTGTGTGTGTGTGTGTGTGTCCAGTAGTTTGAGCACTGGACTCCAACCCTCATAGTCCCGAGTTCAATTCCCCGTCGCGGCGGTCGTAAAAATGTCTGCATTCCGACTGCTGGCTAGAGCCCGATCTCACGTCAAGGAAACGACATATCGCCTTGAGAAGTCAAACACAGGTATCGTAGGGGAAGTCACCGCCGTGGAACAAGTGTTAGCGCGCCGAACCGCGGTTGATTAGAAAGGGCATCCAATCAGGCAAGGGTGACACTGCCAAATGATCACTCAAGAAATATGTACAT